AAGTTGACAAATGCCATTTTGCCATACCAGTTCTTCAAACAGAAATAGGTTTGATTTGTATCATCAAGTCCCAATCAATTATTTCACTTAGCCAGCAGCATCATGGAACACCTAATGCACTGTAGGAACAGCAGCAAGGCAATGCAATACTGTAGAAATAAAAATTGATCAATGCCATTTTGTTAACAAAAAATAAAATATCATGCTGTGCAAGAAAAATGCCAGTCGTTTGTTTCCCAATGACTGTATTTACATTCAGAATATAACACAAACCAGTGCCCTGGTGTTTGTACAACCTAACCCAGTCAGTTCAAGGGAACTATTTAAACTGTGTATATGTATATAGTGAGAGAGGGAGGGTTAATAAGCTTGACAATTTTTCAATCCTGTTTTCCCCCTAGAAAAATGGCAGCACAGTACTCCTACAACCAATCCCCCTTGTCTTTCTTCTAATCTTTTCAAATAAGAAAATTTTCCCTGATACTGTGTGTTAGTGGGCAGCACACATCTAACATCAGACAGCTGCCCTGAGTATGTGCACATGGCCAGAATTCGAAGACTGGCACTTGATTAGCTCATTGCAGGTGGCATCAAGAATGAAAAGGCAACAAAGAAAATTCAGTCCCCTGCTCCCACCCACTCACCCCTGGCCAGGATCTAGAATAATACTGGCACAAATAACCCAAGTTTTTATTCCTTACGGAAGAAAGGGGAGGAAGGGAGGGAGGGAAAGAAGGGAAATGCTTTAGTCATCTAGTTGGCTTCCTTACTGGGTGCCCTCTTGAGCTCTGCTCCAAGAGGAAACACTTCAGCCAAGAGAGGATTTGTGCTTATGAAATCCTGTTACCCTGAAGTTGTTTTTTCACATACTTGATATTTCCTCTCCGATGGGACAGCTGCTGTCACTAATCCAGCAGTGCCAACAAATTCATATAGGCCAACATGTGCCTTCATTACAGGCAGGAAAACAGGTTCAGGAGAAGAGGGCCTTCATTCATTCCAGAGATAATGTTGTCCTTTTGCAATTGCCCATGCATCTATTTAACAGATAGACCAAATGAGTAAAAAGAAAAAAGGGGGGGAAAAGGAAAGTTATACAATAATTAGGAAGACTAAAAAGTATATAAGCAGCAGCATTTAGTGCATAGCAAAAACCAGTATGAGGTAGATTTAAAAAATCAGCAGAAAGTAAAGAGTGTTATTTGTACAAGACAGGCAACAAAGGTGAAAGATGGAAAAGCAAAAACTTGGACTTAACTAGTTGTAACAGCTACAGATTTTGTGTCCTCTTGAGATGTTTCAGAAGGCTGATCTTGCAGCAGTTGATCTACAATCATGGATTATGATAGGTGGGAAAGCTGACTAATAAGTGGTTCAGTGAGATTAAGGCACCGTATGTAACATAGGAAGCAGCGTAGTAATACATGTTCCACACACTCTACCTTGTTGCCTGAGCACACCCAAAGGTGATCTTAGTAAGGAACATTGTTCTATCTGCCTATAGTAACCATTGAGGGCAGGGTATCAAATTGCACCATCGTAAATGCCCTTCTGTGTGGAGCATGAAGGATATGAGAAAAATATTTAGGTATGAGAAAAGGAGCACCCACAAGCTCCTGATAGTGAAGATATGAATGTTTAATCTATATTTTTGAACATCAAGATCGAAAACACTCTGAGCTCTGCCTAAGCTTTATCTGGACCCATAAAGCATACAGGTAGGAGGGACAGCTTGCCAGAAGACAAATCTAAATATATTTGTTTTTTGAAGGAGGAGGTATAGCTATCCAAAAGTGTAAGCTGGGCCAAAGACTCACCCCAGGATGTTTGTTTTAGCCAGTATTTAAGCCAGTAATGTCTCAGATGGGCCTCAAGGGAGATGCAGCCAAGTTCCAACTGAGAAACTCTATCCGTGGTTGATCAAGGTACATGGAGAATGATCTTCAGAAAGTGGGATTAAAGGGTAGAAGCATCCTTGTACTCAGAGTTCTGCACCATAGAGCAGCAAACATAAGACCTTCATTTCATATAATTTACTTGCTGTAGGGAAATAGATATTGCTTTTGTGGCTTGCAACTGATCATTAAGAGCTTTTTGTGCTCTTGACGAAAGCTCACTTATTTGGTGACACCAGGAGGTAGATAGTTGGAAATGAGTGCCTAAATATTTAGTGTCTTTGACTTGCTTAGTAGGCTTATCACTGCTTTTGCAATTATTTTGCAATTATTTATAGGAAATGTTAAAATGCTTAATCAATAGGATTTCCCTAGAACAAAAAGAACCCTATTGCTCCTAGGCATCTGTGAAGCCAGCTTGGGATATAGATAGAATGGAAGTAGCATCTTCATAGAGTGGAATAGAAATGGTCCAGTGGAGGAGGGCTGGGGAATAGAATTTGGGTTTAGCAAATAACAATGTCGTTAATATAGAAACTGAATAGTAGGGGAGCCAGAATGCAACCCTGCTTGGCTCCTTTTGAGACAGGAATGGAGGCAGTTAATTCCCCACTGTTTTTACTTCTGATTTTCGTAAAGGTGATCTCATGCAGCTGCAATCTGAGAAGGTGACGATCAATGGAAGAAGCAGCTAATTTCCTTCACAGCCCCTCCAGAGAAATTGAGCTCTCAGGATGGTATATACAGTCTACCTTCCCCTAAGCTCTCAGGACAGAGAGATACAGAGAAGCTACATTATGTCAGGTCCCCATACAGTATATGAGGTTTTACATGAATTCCATCTGTATCTCTCTGCTCTGGGAGCTTAAGGGAAGGTGGACTGTATATACCATTCTGACAGCTTCTATATATCTCTTCCTGCATCACTGAGCAACAGGACCTAGACAGCTCCTGAAGCTAATGCATTGTACAGTATATAATCATTTCAAGTGTGAAGGTCTATGAGTTTAATTCCCAATAGAGTGTTTGAATCCCACAGAATAACATATGGCTACCCACACTTGATGAATCCCCAAAAGGATGAAACTGGTCATATGGTGCAAACCACCTGCTGGTCAATGTAGCTGAGTAATTGAGTTGAAAGCTGTCTTCAAGTCAATAAAGAGGGCCTCTTGGAGAACTTGAATATTTCTTGGCCAGATGGTGTAAGATTGTACATTGACCAACAGTTAAGTAATCTAATTTGAAACCTGCCTGTTCTGTGGCCAGAATGTTCTCCTGGATCATCCAGTCAGAAGGTTTGGAACAAAGATGTTTTGATTATACATAGCATGCTAATTGGTCGATAGCTAGCTGGATTATTCTGATCAACTTTCTTATAGATTGGAAACACGGTTTCAGCTTCAGTCTTTAGGTAGTGGTAAGGAGCTGTTGATAGTTGTAAATAGGGGAGGTAGTACAGAGGCCTACCAATGGGGATTTGTTTACAAATATTCTGGGGGGAGCCATGCATTTTGCCAATTCAGTGCCTGATTTTCCCAATCACAAAATCAAGAATAGCTCATTCTTGAAGAAGCATCATTTCCCCAATAGCAAAGAGATATTTTTGGAAACTTCCTAGGTATCATCTTACTTTTTTTCCAAGTTGTCAGATATTTTTTGCTTTATCCACCAATGGCTATATTCCAACTTTTTCTTTGGCCCCCATTCAACCAGGAGAGGGAAAATGCAATTGGTGATAGCCACCACCCATTATAGCTAGCAAACCAGCATTTTCAACTAGCAAATTTTGCCAAAGAACTGAAATAGTAATACCTTTGTTTGGACACAATACCATTCTTACAACAACATTCATTTCTGCTAAGCTATACAGTTCCAGCATTTTTATCTTTACCTCATTTGTGTGATTTTAAATTCCAAGCATTACTCCATTTCTCATTTCTGCTCATTGCACCTGAATCCATTTGATTTGAATGTTTAGCATTGCAAGTACATGTGTAATACAGGTTTGGTATTGCCTGCATTTCCTTTAAGACATTTTCATTCTTGTTCTTTTTTACCAATCCTTCTGATTATTATCAGATATTGTTTCTCTCATCACCAGGCCTGCCCTCCCCACAAACCAGGCCAACTTAGCGATGCACCTGTTATTGCTTAAAGTGATACTATTTTTTACTCCCTTTTTTACTTTCACCTTTCTGCCCTTTACAAGGAACAGTAGATAGGCTCATCCAAAGTAGAAAATGAGCCTCACATGAAGTAGCTCCAAAGGAATGAATACTTTTAATGTATCCAAAATAAAATAAGCCCAATCTAATTTAGATACCATCCCCCAAAATCTGCATGTGATTCCTTCTTTCTTACATCCTAGAAAATATGTACCCCATAATCCTGAAGTAGGCTTTTTTTTTTTCTTTCCTCACAGCTACACTGCTCTTCTTGAAAATTCAAAAGCCCAAAAGTCTAGAATAAACTCTTCCCTGGCTATTTAATCTCAAGAGGGAGTGTTTACTCAGAAATTTTGCCATCTGGCCCTTCTGGGCTTCAATGCTAGAGATTCAAAGGACTAGATTAATAAATGAGTTGTGTATGCAGTTTGACCTAACAGGCCTTTGGAGCTTTCCTTGTCAGATATGCCTGTTGCATCATCATTGTTATTGAAATAAGTGTGGTTTCTGTTCAGGTTCATCAGGTGAGTGTTTGCATTATGTAATTTTTGTCCTAAGGAACAACTCAAGCAGAACTAGAGGCATATATAACTTGTGTGTTAATGTGTAGCTATAGACACTTCTGAATTTCGAAGAAGAAAGAAGAAGAGAGAACTATGACTTTTCACTTGGAATTAAGCTAGATGGGAAGTAGGTTAGGAACTACAAGGATCGATGCTACTATCTTGGAAATCTGATATGCAAGCTGTATTCTTACTATCTTCCACATTTGTCTATTTGCTTCAGTCATGTTCTGCTTTTATATTTGCAAACAAAGTACATGACAAAGGTAATATAGATTTTTAATTCTTCCTTAGAGCATTGTAACTGGATAGCTCCCCCATTAGAGAAGTGGTAAGAGCTTATAGAAGCTTCTTCCAATCTTGTATTCTTCCTCAGTTGCTGTCCAATGTAGTTGGAGAACATCATCTAGGACAATCTGTTGACAGTGTTTTCTTTGTTACTTTCACCACATTTAAATATAAAGCTAGTGCCAGATCAAACTTTAAATCACTTTCTTCTGACAAGAGATAAGTCATAATTTGCCTAGGAGTTTTCCTTGCTCAACTCCTCTCCTAGAAGCTAACAAGAGGAGAACATTCATGAGACAGTCCAGCATGAAGTAGCATGAAGTCTAGCATGAAGTTACCCACATCTTAATACACTAGCAGAAATCTCTCCAAGACTGAGTTTCGTGATGGAAGCAGTATGAAATTTATTGAATTTCTCACTATTAAGTAGGGAAGTAGAAGGTGTCACAGACACTGGGGAATGCTTCAGTTTTCCTTTATGAGGGCAAATATGTACTTCATGTCTGTTGCTGAACCTTTGTGTCCCACAGAACTCCAAGCTACCTGCTTGCCTGCCTGCCTGTGGGTCTCGGGGCAAAAGTAATGTTGAAACAACTGACCTTTATTTTATTCCTGTCCACTATCTTGAATAACAGCTCATACTATGTGTCAATTGTCCTGGCGCTGGCTATCTTCAGGTGAAATTAGCTAGCTTTCATTCCAGAAAGCCATGCATATCAGAGAGAAATTCCTGATTCAACTCTTGGACACTTTGCAATACAGAAGTTAAGATGCTTTTCTTCGGGACTGCTGGCGAATACTAGGCATCTGACATTTTATGTATTCCTGTCATCAGATAAATTCCAGTGTCCTTTGAGGTCCTTCTAATAAACCTGCCATTTTGATTAACATTTGGTGAGTTGTGATTCCAGGGAATTCTAAATAACCTGCCTAATCTCACTCTTCAATAGCTCCTTAATCCTCTATTGCAAAGCAGCAGGCTAACCCTCTACAGTTAGTTAGACAAAGGCTGGAACCTGGCAGGCCTGTACCTTGGTAACCAGTAAGGCATTATGTTCAAAGAGGCTTCAGTATCCAACCACGCTGGTAACTTGCTATGTGGCAGCACAACTATACATTGATTTTATTTTGCTGGTGACACTGGAGGAATGGGGCACACTCCTACCTTCCTAAAATGACCATCCTGTTCCCACCTCTCTGGGGTAACTCCAATTTTACTTTAAATGGGGTTTATCTTTAAATGAGAGCAGGCCAGCAAAGGATGGTGCAGTCAGGATTGCCAGGCTAAAGAAAGTGGCAAGAAGATCACAGAGACACAAAGAAGGGAGCTTTCAGACAGGAATAGTCCATGAGGGGCTAGTTCAATCTGCCATTTGTTATTGTTTATTATATTGATCGCTTGCCATATCCTCTATCCTTGTTGAACGTTGGTCACATCTTTCAGTTGAATTACAGGAGATGACAAGGAAAATAAATAGAGAAGGAAATCCAGAGAAAATAATAAATCATTGGCTGAATTGGCCAGGAACTGCAAAAGGCAAAACAAGTCTGATGTTTCCATATTACTCTAAAATGACTGTCCTAATCCTTGGCACCAGGCCTTTGGTTTCCAGCAAAACTTACCAAGAGTCACTGTTTGGGTCTAAGAAATAGTTTGATCGATATCTCTGGAGGGATACATTTGCTGTCCTTAGTCCTACAACCAAAGAAGCATTCTTTCTCGTGTTTCTGATTTCATAGTAATGGCCAACCTGTTGATAAACATAAAATGCCAGATCAGAATGACCAATAAAGGAGTGGTGTGCCACTGCTTTTCTTCAGAATGATTTTTACTTGCCAGTCTAGCCTACAGCCATAGGGTCCCTGATGAAGTCTAATCCAGGTACTAACCCATCCTAATGCTGTTTAACGTTTCCTAGATTAGCCAAGGCCGAGACACATGCCTGATGATTCAGTGATTTGTCTTCTGGAAACAGGACATGAGAGGAACAAAGGTCTCAGGTCTGAAAAGTGTTGCCTTTAATATCAACAAAACGTATTTGCTCATTCACAGTTTAGCCAAAGTGCAGGCGTAAACAAGGGAAAAGCTTGCCTCATATTGGTCACAGCCATTAACTGTATGCAGTAGTGTAAATGTGTGGTAATGAAGGCATGAGTTACTGTTGCAAGGTCCTCACATCCCAGGTAGGACCATCAGTGGAACATTAGACAAAGCTGAGCAAAGACCCCCTGGCCATTGCTTCTATCTGCTCATCTAGTAGTAGCCAGGAATCCAGGAATTTCCCCAAACCATGGACTTGATCCTTCAGTGGTAGTGTCTCCCCCTTAAGAGACAGTACTGAACCTGTCTGAGAGCCTAATTATACAAACAGCAGAAAAAATCTATTTTTCTTGCGTTCAACTTCAGTCTGTTTTGTCCCATCCTGACAGCCTCCAGGCACTGGAACAAGACCTCTGTGGCACTGTCCACTTGGTGACAAACAACCAGAAATCATCAGCATATTGATGATATCACATCTCATGACAATGAATGACTTCTCCCAGTGGTTTTGTGTACTTGTTAAATAATAGAGAAGAGAGGGCCAAATTATGTGGTACCTTACACATGAATGGCCATCAGGCCATCCTTTCTTCCCCTATAGCCACCAAGTGAAACTTCCACCCACTAAGGAAGTAGTGGAATCAGTTCCCAATTCCTAACACTTGTAAGGAGTCAAGATGCTGCTGAAAGGTTCAAAAGGGCACACTACTCCCAATCCTAGGGTAACCAATGTTATTTCTGTCCCATTCTCAGGACTGAATCCTGACTGCAAGAGGGATCCAAAATAATTTCCTTCTTCTGGGGTGTTTTGTAGCTTCCATCCCATTATTTTCTCAACAACCTTCCCAAGAAAGCAAAAACTGAAGATTGGGCAATAGGTCAGATTCAAGAAGGCCTCTTTGGGACACACTACAGCCTCCATCAAAGCTCAGTTAGCACCCTCTCTCAGTGAGGCATTCGTAATCTTCCAGAGCCAACCAATCATGTTCCTATCTGTCCCCCATAGAAGCCAAATAGGGGACACATCTATCCTATGGTTAGCAGAAGACATGCTAGATAGCACCTTACCTATTTCACCAGAGTTTGCAGACCAAAAGGATTCACGCCTATCATTGCAACATGTCTCACCAGTCATCACTGTAGACCTTGCCCACAAAGACCTTGATCAAGGTAAAACTGAGCAACCTTGCCACAAAAGGCTTTGCAAAATGGTCACAGGAGCAAGGCTGGAGATCTTCCTACTTACTCTTCTGTAAAAAAGAGTTGATAACACTAAACAAGTCAGCTGGCTGGCAGTCCATCCTCCCTTAATGCCATGGTATAGGCCCAAACCTGGGTTTGTACTTGTACTAGTTCTCATGACCCAACTTAATAACCAGACATTTGCATTCTAGTATTTCAGAAATGCGAGCCAGCTTGGTGTAGTGGTTAAGGCATTAGGCTAGAAACCAGCAGACTGTGAGTTCTAGTTTTGCCTTGGGCACAAAGCCGGCTGGGTGACCTTGGTCCAGTCACTTTCTCTCAGTCCTAGGAAGAAGGCAATGGCAAGCCACTTCTGAAAAACCTTGCCAAGAAAACTGCAGGGACTAATCCAGGCTGTTGCCAGGAGTCAACAATGACTTGAAGGCACAAAAAACAAAATCTAATTTCCTCATGAGATGGATGGTATCTAAATTCAAAATACAAACAAATAAATAAATACATAAACAAACAAAAAAAACAAACTCAGAAGTAGAAGCCTTGGTCAGATACAAGATATAGATCAATCACCCCACCTCCCCCAGGCCTTGGCATCACAAATGCTGAAGCCCAGATCTCTGAGAGGGCTATAATACTGCCCTCAGCCACCATTGGAAATACATGCCAGATCCACCTATTCTTCTACTACAAAGTAATGGATGAGCATGGTCTCGTTACTGAAAGACTTGACACTAGATTTCAGGCTCTGTAAGGCAATCAGCATTCCACATCTGAGTTACAAATGCCTGGACAACCATTAGATGGCAGCAGTGTTAGGATTTCTGCTGTCATCTATTGGTTGTCTGGATTATTCATCCCAAATCTAGTAATCCTTTTCTTTAAAAAACAAACTGGCAATCCAATCAAGTCAGATTACTACTCTGCTTGTTTTTTCCCATTTTTACAGGCACAAAACTGTCCAACCAATGGTCAAATTATAAGGCTCAAGTCTATCACAATTTTATTCTTGTCTATAACCGCAAAATACCTATCAAATCTGATCCTGAGGTTTTTCTTATTTTACAGCACCCCTCAACCCATTCCAGACATGTGTTTGCCCAACTTCTTACCTTGAAGTTCTGTCCATAGATACCAGCTTGGGTTTCTGTGCTTTTGCTACCAGGCCAAAGCAGTATGAGGTTTTCATAATGCTTTAATTATTAACAGCCTTGTCTGCCTCCTTAATTTCCTGTCCTAAAATTCATTTAAGTTAATTCCAAACCCTGAAGTCTGGTATCCTTTTCAGCTACAGATTTGTAGTAGCTTTATACAGTTTGGGGCATTAAACCCAAGAGGAGGGTTCCTACATGGAGCCTGTGAGCAGCAAGGTGCCCAATGATGCCTTCCTTGGAACCTGCCAATATTGCTTTCTTAATAATATTTTAATTTTTTTTCATTATATTTAAATTAAGGAAAAGGAATCAAAAAGCTATCACACTGCAAGGCAAAGCAGTGATGAAATGTTAGGATATTTCCAAAAATATTTCCTGATCTCCACCTAGATCCCAGATACATACTGAGAAATTGAGCATGATAGCTGGCTAAGCTGTTATTATGTTTCCAAGTGACTCTCCTCTTCCAGGGTAAAGCAAGCTGAAATGGGAGAGATTATTGGGAGAAGAGTGTTGCAAAATCAGTGACTTGTGATTGGTCACAGTCTCCATGGCAGCCATTTTGTCAGCATGTCCACAATAAGTACACAAAATTCTTAATACTCCCACTGGGCCAAAACAGTTGGGGTCTTATTCTGTGAGGTAGAGAAGGCCCAGTGCCTGATTTGTATTTACCAGGCCTGGCTTCAAACTGTAATGGGAAGAAGAAATAACCTTGAGGAACAGGAGGAAGAGCTGCAACCAAGACAATGGTCAGATAAAAGAAATCTGAGTTTGCAGTAGAAATGTAATTTGAGAAAACATCTTGGGTAAGACCCTCCTGTCAGGTTCAGCCCAAGAATCACACAAGACAGTCTGGAAATCATCTCAGCTTCTTTATTAGCTAGCACCTAATAGACAGAATCTCGCCAGACTATAACTCCCCAACGAGAGCAACTATAACCGCTAAGCCCTTAGAGAGGGGCCAGTCTCTTCCTCTTTACTTTCACACAGCCCAGCTGGGGGCTGAGGAGATGCTTGGAATGTCACTCCCCCTCCCTATAACCTTGAAGCTCCATTTCAGAATCCTCCCCGCTCATGCCTTCCATCACATTCCTTAGGTCTCATGAAGATAAAGGAGGTAGGGGGTAAGCACATTCAGACTTGCAAAATTCTGTTACTGTAACCTTATAATAAAAGTAGTATCTGCATGCATTACTTTGGTTTCCTAGTCTGCTCTACCTTGAGGAGCCGACACATAGTAGTTTTCATTGCAGGAAAAGTTGCATTCTAGAAAACTCATGAAGTTCAAAACTGAACCCGGAAGATTTTTAGCAAATGTTAGTACAATTACTCTGCTCACCAAAGGTGGTATTGTTTCAAGGGGGAAACCCATGGAAAATAGTCCAGGAGAAAGTACAAGTGAACTTTACTCTCCAGCTTTCCAATTTGAGTCCAGATCACGTGTCTCTTTCTATATGGAGCCAAAGATTAGGGGATTTTACTTTTATTTCAGGAGCTCCTGTATTACAAAGGGATGGGCATTGGCTCCGTGATGCATTTTGTACTCTCCAGTTGGTTGACCAAAGGATGGTCCCAGATTGCTTTCAGTGTTTCAGATCAGCAGGTGTAAAGGTGAATCCAGGGTTGTCTTCAAAGTGCTTTATAGGGATTGGGAAATGGAAAGGGGATTGGTCTAAAAGGGTCCTGTATTTTTATTTATGATATTTCCAAAGCTCTAGTTACCTCCTAGATGTTTAGCATCATGGAACCCTGTCCTGAAGTCTTGGCTAGAATACACTTACCTGCTTGATAGCCAAGCAGGATTCTGTCTTTGGATTTAGAGTATCCACATCACAGTGTTCCAAATCTAAAATTTAACTGGCAAGCATATAATTCAGAACCAACAACATGGATAGCAGAACAGAGCTAGATGCCATAGAATATGTTATTCTTCCTTTGAATGCCATGAGGCCTAAAGAATCTTACGCACAAAAATGGCATTTGGCAGCACCTTTGGAAGAACCTTTGCTTTTAGAAGATGGGATTATTTAGCTGCCGATGTGATCAGCAGCAGCTGAAGTCTGATAGATCTTCAGGGCCCTGCATCCTTCTTTCATCCTCTTCACTAGCAAGCTCATTGACTGGGCTCAGATATTACACAGAACCCTAAAACTTTCTTTCATTTTGGCTAGATTATTATGTAAGTGCTCCCCCAGTAGTCTGTAAACTATGGCTTAGCAAAATGTATGAACTCAGCCAATTGTAGCTGAATCAACTAACCATGGTTAACAAATGAATAGTTTTGCATCCAGGTGAGCTCAGCCACCAGGTGTTTGGTGAAATAGAAATAAAGGGCTGGTTAGCCCTAAACTCCCAATTCTCTCTTGTAACCTGGAGAGACCAACATTTTCTGTATGGTTCTTTTATAACCCCTATTTATTTATTCATTAAATAAATTAAAACAATGCTGCTCAGGAACATGTAATTTCAGACTCCTGGGTGATCACATTGATTGTCAGAAAACTCAAGGAGGACCTAGGTGTGGAAGGGTACAACACCCTGCGCCACTGTAGAGACACTTATAGTTCCTCTCCCCCTTCTTGGAAAATCAAAACCAAATTAGGCAGATAGAGAAGGCAGAGGCCTTTTGTAAAATGAGAGGTTCCGACTGACTGATGCCAAGTAAAACAATATTGTAAAGTACATGCCCGGAAAGGTAAAGTGGATTAGGTCATATCTTATCCAAAAGTTGATAAACTGGTCACTTGCATCCTCAATGAATTCCTTGTAAATCTTTAAAATCGGTATTTCCTTGTTTCTAAAATGTATTCCCAAATACTGTATGATTATCCTTTTACAGTCACTTTATTTAGATGGCTTAATATTGATTAAAACCGCAGTCTCATATCCACTTTCCCAGGAGTAAGCCCAACTGAACCTTGTGGGACTTACTTTTTGATAATCACAGAGAGCAAATCTTGTTGGTTTTTAATTCAGCATTTCTGCCCATTGGCCATGCCATCTTGGTCTAAGACAGTGTTTCTCAACCTCAGCAACTTTAAGATGGGTGGACTGGGGAATTCTGGGAGTTGAAATCTGCTCATCTTACATTGCTAAAGTTAAGAAACACTGGTCTAAGGGAAATCAAGACCAAAAATCACAGGAAGGCCACAGATTCCTCACCGCTGGTATAACAGGAGTAGAAGATTGTATAGTTCAGTGTAACTTTCAGATGAGGATGAATATGATTTGCAATTCCTTCCTAGGAAGAGAATCAGAATCTGTTCTAAACCAGCCAAACTGCATTGCACTGGCCTTTTTTCTACTGATGTGTTTTTGATCAGTCATATGAATGTGAGTGAAATAAAACAAATCCTTTCAAGTCCTTTCTATCACCCTTCAGGTCCTTCCCATTTTCCTTTCTCCACAGAGGTGTATCTACAAAATAAAGGGAATACTTACTGTGTATGAGTGTCCCATAACTCTTGCCTTGCACAGCAACAACACTGCCCCCCACCCCGCCACAAGAGCACTGCAAGATCAACCCTTGTGAGTGTAGAGGCAGGAAAGCAAAAATCAAGAAAGCACTCTCCAAACCTTCTTCTGACCAGAGTTCCCACTGTCTGGCTTCATGGTTTGCCCAATGCCCCACATGAAGTGGTCCAGTGCTTGTCATCCACATCTCTTTGTCACTCCTCCTTCACATTGCCCTTTGGTACTGGTCTTGCTAGGCCAGCAGAACACAAGAGAGAAGGGCAGAAAGAAAGAGAGCACAGTGACTCTTGTCCAGTTGGCCATTCTCACTTAAAATATTCTTTACTACTCCATTACTTTAGTTTTGTTCTTTTTTGTTGCTATTTTCTTCGATTCCTTATTATTAGCAAATCCATACAAGATTCCTTCAAGTTGGTTAGCTAGCCCCATAGCTTCTCACACAAGGACATATGTCATGATATGTTGGATTATTACAGGCCATCATACAAAGCATAAGAACCCTGAATCCCAATGTCTGGTTCACCTACCTCACCCCTGGCTGCAGGCTGATTGGCAGATCTCCTGCCTAAGGATGCCTGAGAAATGTCTATGGCTCCTGTCTTCCTCTCCTGTAACACAGCCTAGTTCTTATGCAAGGAGAACAAACCAGTGACAATTGGTGACAAATGGACTGTGTACCATGGACTCTGTTTCCATTGCCATGGAGATATCAGCCAAGCATGATTGGGCAACCAGAAAAGTTAAGTAAGAAAGGGGTACAACAGACACAGGTGCTAAGAAATCAATATGGTACGGTTTGCTAATTAGATGTGACTTGGTAATTGACAGCAGGCATGTTGAAAGATTTTTCCCCTTACAAAGCCTGTCTGAAGAAGGCAGGCATTAGAATTACCAGAAATATAAATCTGTAATTTTTAGCACTCTCAGGTACTAAAATCAGCACTATTAATTTCAGCAGATCTGTGGATAAATCTGATGTAAACATATGGTTGTAAGTTTAACTCAGATTTAGCCTGCCATTTATCCCTGTTTGAATGCTAATACTTTTCATATTTTGGGAGATGTTCCCTGATGACTAGAAACAAATATTGACTACAATATGGAAGCATTTAGCTGCTGTTCAAACAACTGGCATGATAGGTAGATGCTCATGTAGGATGCGAATATGTGTTTCTTAAGTAGATAAGATAAAGAAGAATGCTTTATGTATATAAAGAATATGTGGATTATTTAGATAATTATGTGTATTTACTCTTCCTCAAAATATAAAGTAGCCTTACTCATCTTCCTGCTCATTCCACAGAACGTAACCTGATCTTTTGCCCTTGAAGGCACTTCTAGAATCAGTGCATCTCACATATGTTGCTCACGGGTTCAACCCTGTACTTTGTACTGTAGTCTCCAATCCAATGGAGGAGACAGGTAATCCATGTCAAGTTGCAAACCCAGTTGCACAGGAGCCCTGTTTTCTAGCTATCTTCTATCATGCACTGCAGTCTTCAAAGGACTTGCCAAAGAACCTGAATGCACTTCAGCGGCATGCACGTGGAGCACCAGAGTCTTTGAAATGTGGTCCGTTATACAGGACCCAGATGAGCTAATTTCAGCAGCTTCCACATAGTGATTCTAAGGTGATATACAGTAGTGGTGAAACATAATCCTAGCCATATTTGTAATGAAGATACAGTTACAATAAGATGCCCTCTATCCCATTTTAGAAACTCTAGAAGGTAGGTAAAAGGTACCTAGCAAAATGATGCTAAAGCTGAGGCTGTTTTTGAAAATGATGGGCTAAAAGGGAATCTGTAACCAGTGGGAATTCTGAAGAAAGCAAGATTGATCATGATTTATCATAGGTATGCTACTTTTTCATAAACCGAAAGATGAATTAATCCCAAACTTCAGAAGCAGCACTGTTGCACATGGCTGTGATTTATTGATGAGTAAAATATGTGAACAAGCTCCAACCTACTCCTGGAGAACTTTGAATGATCTGGATTGTTTGTTTGTTTGTTTTTGTTTGGTGAGATTGGTTCCTCTCTTCCTTGACCTCTCATAGACATATTCTTTATCCTCATAGCAAAAGCAAAAGCAAAAGCAAAATGCAAAACAAGTTTTCTCATTAAGACTCTGCTTTTTCACTTTCTGGAACCAAAGTGAGGAGGGGAGCCGTTCTTAATACAATCATCTGGTTCCGTCCTGACAGCAAACATTGTGTGCTCAAGCTGCTTTGCCCCCCTGCCATTTCTTGTCTCTGCAGCCCCCCCCCCAACACACACACATTCTATTCTCTTCTCATTAGTGTGAGAGAACCTGATCCTCTGTTGAAGCATCTCAGCATCTTTCCCTCCAGTGCTGTGCTGTGATTGGTCTGATTCCTTCTCCCCACTACAGCTATGGCCTGCCAGTCCCAGCTAAGCAGTTGGACAAGCAAGAGTTAAGTCTGCAGCTGCTGGCCCCTGCAGCGTGGAGCTCTGTTCAAACTGTTCCCACTGCTGCATGAAGTCAGCTGTCACTGGAGAACAAAAGCAGCCCAGGATCAGTTCAAGTTGTGGCTCTCTGAGGAAGGCCTTGAGACTGTTCCCTGATTAGGATTTCTAAATCAGCCCCATCTAGGTCTGAGAGAATAAAAGCCGCGGAACAAAAAGCTGGCTACACTCACACAAGCCCACTCCCCTTCCTCCTGCTCCTCCTCCCACCTGTTCCCAAGGCCCAAGGAAAACTCCAGATTGCTTAAGAGGTCACCCAAGTCAAAACAAAGCTCTGGGTTGCTTGAATTCTGACTCGAGGTGCTTCCTTGGTTTTGTTTTCCATCTTCCATTTGTAAGGTTTGCATCCATCCCTGGAAAAGTTATGACTTCCAACTATTACACTGTTTGGTAACTTTAGATTCCAGATGGTATGACTGTAGATTCTTTAGATAATCATGTGTATTTACTCTTCCTCAAAATATAAAGTAGCCTTACTCATCTTCCTGCTCATTCCACAGAACGTAACCTGATCTTTTACCCTTGAAGGCACTTCTAGAATCAGTGCATCTCACATATGATGCTTAGAGGTTCAACCCTGTACTTTGTACTGTAGTCTCCAATCCAATGAAGGAGACAGGTAATCCATGTCAAGTTGCAAACCCAGTTGCACAGGAGCCCCGTTTTCTAGCTATCTTCTCTCATGCACTGCAGTCTTCAAAGGACTTGCCAAAGAACTCGGTCCCTGTCTATGCAGTCCTCACAATCACAGGAAAAATGCCAAAGGTCATCAAGCTCTTATTGAGCTGTGCTGCTGATGGAGACATAAATGTAGATATAGATATGGAGTCTTTGTTGCTCTCTTAGCTTGGTTGTTTGCTTGCAGACGTTTCATTACCTGACTGATGATGTGACCTAGTTGGGTAATGAAATGCCTGCAAGCAAACAATCAAGCTCAGAAAGCACCAAGGACTCCACAGTTCAACCCTGAGCTTCAGATATCCTCTTCTATTGGAGATACAGATATAGATATTCTGACAACCTCACCCCAGAAGGGACAAAGACTGCGGATTTTGTACAGAGAAAAATGGCCAAAAAGTTCTTACAAGCTGAGGAATGTGGAAAATAGCTTGGGTAGGATAAATACACTTGGGACAGCATTATTCATCAACTGTGTAATGCAACAATCAATGCCTTAGCAGAAGAATGGAATCTGGATTAAGTATAAACCCTGCTGAAAGTGTATAAATTGTCCCATCTTTATTTCTCAGTTTCAAAAGAGGGCCTGATTTTATGGAAATTCCAAGTTCATGATCTTACTGAAGATCATTGTCTAAGATCGCTATGCTTCACTGCAATACTATTGGATCAATTCATTAATTCCTAGTTTACTCATCAATTCCACTTTTGCCTGTCTTTCTGCAAGGAGTTCAAGGCAACATACTTGATCCTTCCCTCTTCCTTTACCCACAGTATAAAACTAGCTAAAAGTGGCTAAGCAGATCTTTCAAGGCAGAGTGGGGATCTGAACATGGTCCTTCCTGATGCTAGACAAAGACTACAAACTTTATACTGCAGAATGGTCAAGTTTTAAGAGATCAGTTTTTTATACCCAAACAAAGAAATAAACAGTGCAATACCAAGTCCCAGGGTTTTCTATGTGCAGGTTGTTGCTAACAACTTTCAATTTCCACATTTACTGTACATGCTCACTTATTTCAAAACACAATATACACAATATATGGTAGATACATAGCCACATCAAAGTCCATTTTGCAAAGCTGTTACTGCTCAGGTCTATTATTCAAAAATAATGTTTAACACACATACAACTTTCCTTTAACCATGGTCTTTGACTAGTATTCTCCAGAACTCAGAATTATTCTAATAATGAACAAATTTGAGACTTCTGTATACATTCAGTAACAACCTAGCCTGTGAGTTTTGAAACCATATCTTCTTTTAGTAATCCCAAATATACACAAATGCACACACACACAAACATGCATGAACTCTTACACTGTAAAGACTAATGTAGTTTGCTTTCTGGCATATCATCATAAAAATTCTTATATGGATTCACATATCTTTGGTAAAATCTCACCATCAAATTGGCCAAAGGGTCACTAGTATAATGATGTTGGCCAATAAAAATATCAGTGAGTAGCAATCAAAAGTATCAGTCAGAAGAAATGAAGTGTTGAGAATGTAATAGGAAAGAAATAAAGGTAGCCCAGTGTGGTGCTCTTCCACAAAGTTTCTGATATTTCATAGACAGAAAAAAAAAAGATGCAACATTATTTATATTATACTATTGATGTAGGAGTAAGTAACTGCAGAACTCTCTTAGCAGGGAAATGAAAAATAGGTGAATGGTCAGAAAAATCTCAAAATCTACACCCACTTTGACTCGTGCAACAAGAGACATTTCCTAGGATCTACTTTGGAAAACCCCTGTCTACAGAACTGAACTGCAAGATAAATAAACTTGTTCACAAGTTTTCCTCCTATCAAACAGGATGACAAGGTATCCTGCTATAAAATGCTTATTTTCCTGAGTGTGAGGAAAATAATTACCCTAATCCATCCCATTTTTCTTCTGAAGCTTAAACCAAGAAACAAAGACATCAATGACATTTAACAAACATCTCTACTTTCACTGTCCCAGACTTTTTCTGCTCTTTACTTACAACCATTAAGAAGGTTGGGAGGGAACATTTTTTCAGTAGACCTTCAAGGGGCATTGTCCCCTTCTTTTTTCATCTTAACTGCCAAGTACAATTATGCAAAGAGAAAAAAAGAGACCACAAGAAATTCCTTCAGCCAATCCATAGATCTTATGAATAAACATCTGTGGAGTGGGGTGGAGTGGGGTGGAGTGGGGTGGAGTGGGGTGGGAGATGGGGATAAAAAACATCAATACAGGAAAAAATGTCAGGAGATCAGCTTTTCCCCCACCCCAGCAAACATACAAACACGAATCTTGGGAGATTGGGCCATCTTATGACATGGCCAATCAATCAGAAGAGGATTTCAGACACACCTCGTCCTTCGTCCTTCGTGCCATTAAAGGATTTTCACCCCTCCAGAGCACAATGCAAAGAGGGGAGAGGGAAGGAAGATGGGGTGGGGGGAG